CCCCCCCCCAACCAGTGCATTTATTTTCAATCTCTTGCCTCTGACGTTCAGGAAATGACACCTGAAGCCGATATTATTTCTACTAGCTACACAAAAAGCATCATTAAATCAAGTGCTGCATTATCATATGTTGAAGCTCAAGCGAGGATGGATGACAGGTAATTTCATGTCAGTTGCAACTATTGAAGTATGTTGGAGTTTGTAATAATGCCTTCTTCAACTTTTGTGGTGATCGCCCAGTGTTTTGACGTAGTTGATTGTTGATGTCTCCTATTAGACCTTACTGTCTTTTAGTTGTTTTGTTTAAGCCATTATTGATTTTATAAGCAATGGATGTCCTTAAGTTCGCTGCTTCTGATCATGCAGTACCTCTTTATTGTATCTTGCAGCCTTTCTGAATAATCTACAGCCTTTTCTTTGTTATCTGCATATTTGTCAAATCAACCATAAACGTGTTTGTCAATCCTCTTTTAGGAGTTATTTTATCACCGTGTTTACTTATGTTCAGAATTTTTTTGGGGTTCATTTAGACCTGAAGATATTTAATATTTACTTGCAGTCGATTGATGGATCCAATAACTAGAGATTTGAGAAATATGAATGCCTTGGCAAAGGTAAGCATGCTTTATTTACATTTGTTCTAATAATCACAATATGTCTCGAGCTGACTCGTAGTTTCTCTAACCTCCAACGAACTTGGTCAACCTGCAGAAAATGAGGTTGAGACGAATTGAGAGAGGTGCTTTGACTCTTGCTTCAGCTGAAGTCAAATTTCAAATTGACACTGAGACACATGACCCTCTTGATATTGGTATGTTTGGATGTCAGATTTCATTCATAGCTAGTATTGTGAATGCTTGAGAAACCGGCTTCTATTTACTTATTAGTTCTGTGTATTAATGTGCTAAGATTTCCCCTTTTCTTTCAAGAAGAATTCTCAAACCTTTTCATTGTCATTGTAAAATGATTTATTCTTCCAGGTATGTATCAAATTCGAGAAGCTAACCAAATGGTAGAGGAGTTTATGCTTGCTGCTAATGTTTCGGTAGCAGAAAAAATTCTTCAGCATTTTCCGCTGTGTTCATTATTACGGTAAAGAGCTATCATAAGCATTTGCTTCTTGTTATGTCTGCCACTGCATTATATTCATGTCATGTGTGTCTCTTCCTCCCTTGCCTTTAGCTTTTTATTTTTGAGGAGGGTGGGAACTTTTGGTTGTGGAATGGTGTAATGGTTGGAGCGGAGTTTTGTGCAATAAAGATTTCAGTTGTGTACTTCACACACATTTTTACAGTTGGCATATTTAAAGCAAAGCCTAATCTGGCTAGCTTGTTTGCTTGACACCCGTTGAAGAGTTTGTTCATTTCTTCTCCAATCGATGTGGGATCTCACAATCCACCCCCTTCGGAGCCCAGCATTCTCGCTGGCATACCTCCCGGTATCCACCCCCTTCGGGGCTCAGCGTCCTCGCTGGCACACCACCCGATGTCTAGCTCTAATACCATTTGTAACAGTCTAAACCCGCTGCTAGCAGATATTGTTTTCTTTGAGTTTTCTATTTCAAGTTTCTCCTTATGTTTTTAAAACGGGGAAATGTTTCCGCACCCTTATAAAGAATGTTTCGTTCTCTTCCCCAACCGATGTGGGATCTCACATATCCAACTTTGTGGACAATGGTTGAGTGGTGAGATTGTTATAATAAACTATTACTTTCTTTTTATTTGCAGGCGCCATCCTACACCAACTAACGAGATGCTTGAACCTCTGATTCGCACAGCTGTCGCTGTTGGTCTTGACTTGGATGTCTCATCATCCAAAGCTTTGGCTGATTCACTTGATCGTGCTTTGGTATATCATAGTGCATTGATTAGGACATAATTTCAAATTTGTCTTCGTTTTGTTGCTTGCCTAGTGGCTTCGTTAAAGTTACTCTAGCTCCTTGATATTAACATTTGCTAGTCTGTTCTTTGTTTAACTGGAACAAAATTCATACTTTATCAGGGTGATGATCCGTACTTCAATAAGCTGATCAGAATACTAGCTACTAGATGTATGACACAGGTAATTTCACTTAAATATTGCATTTTGATTAATTTAACTGCTTATGGACATTTCTGAAAGATGTTTTTGTCCAAGTGAAGGCTGTTTACTTCTATAGCGGAGACCTCAGTCCTCCAGAATATCAACATTATGGGCTTGCAGCACCTCTGTATACCCATTTCACCTCTCCTATTCGACGATACGCAGGTTCGGGCTTGTGTTGTGTTCTCTGTTTGGTGACATTATCTTATTGTTTTGGGTCTTCATCCATTTTTTTTTATTGCAGATGTCATCGTGCACAGATTGCTCGCTGCATCTTTGGGAATATACAAACTTCCAACCCTGTTCCATGACAGACTAAAACTCACTACAATCGCTGATAGTATGAAACACTCTCTTTTCCCTAATCTTCACATAATTATGCTCAACTGCAAATTGATCTTGATGAACTGGATCAAGCATTAACTCTTTATTGGAAGAAAACTATTCTGATCTTCATTTGGTTGGTTGATTATAAGAGTAACGTGACATTGTTTAATCTCTCTGTATCGTATGGATGTTCACTGCTGTAAATTGTTTCCAGACTTGAATTATCGACATAGAAACGCCCAGATGGCTGGCCGGGCTTCAGTAGAGCTTCATACTTTAATTTACTTCAAAAAACGGTATGTCAGCTTAACATGTTCATTACTCATGTGCATGACCCAAACGTTTTCACGTCCGCTTGTTTTTTTCTCGTCTAATCTAAAGAAATTTCATCTCTTGTTGATGTAGGCCTACGGACACGGAGGCCAGAATTGTGAAGATAAGATCAAACGGTTTTATAGTATTTGTTCCCAAGTACGTTTCCTAAGCCTATGGTTTTATAGTATTTCTACCTTTCACTTTGATTAATATGGCTTGAATTGAAGGACTTCGAGGGAATAGGTTAAAGTAATAGGGACCACCTATCTTAAGAGTAAATGTAGTAGGATAGAATAGTTGACATGCATGCAAGTTAGCCAGGTCGTTTACGGATAAAAAACATAGCTTGCCCTTTTTGTCTGCGTGTGTGTTGGGGGTTGTGAATTTGGATGCGTTTGAGTTTTCGAGTTCAAACAAGGGTCCACAAAATCGTAGGTTAGATGGTTACATGTAGAGGTCAGTTGATCCAGACACTCGCAGATACAAAATTAAATTGTTCACCTACTCAATACAACACGTTTTTGTGTCGAACATCCCAATAATGACATTATTTTGCTTTGGTTTCTCAGATTTGGTATCGAGGGACCAATACACTTGTCAGCAAGAGGTGAGAAGCAAAATGGAGAATGGTTGGTGGATGAGCAAGACCAGAAGATCAAAAGGTTGGATGGTAGCATAACATACAACGTTCTACAGGCAGTGAGAATTCACATGGAGGTTGTGGAGCCCCAACCAAATCGACCAAAGCTTCAGCTTAAACTTATTACTTAATGTCTCCAAAACCACTTGTGTAAAAGGTAGAGTTCTTTTGTTTTTTTTAAAGCTTGCGAGTTTACAGAGTTCATGTTGTGAGAGTAGATAGAGCTGCAGCGCTGCTAAAACAGATTGTTGGAAGAAATGTATATTTATTTTTATTATAAATAATTACCACTAATTTTTTGAACTCAGATGTGTAATTTGTTTAAAATGTTTCAATTTCGTTTTGATGTGTTCAAGTTTATGCCTGGGAAAAAACTTTTTTTTTTCCTTTTCAAGTTTTACCCTGAACTAATTTTATCAAATTTCACTCAACTAAATAAGTGAAAAAGAAAAAAAAAAAGGAAAACACTAGTGGCTGACCGACTCTTGCCATAAAAGTTGTATTCGACTTGGCTCATCTCATTGCATCATGTCATAGCCATACTTGTCTAGGGCAGGTTGGTCATAGCCGCATGTCCATTTTGATACTTTTTACTTCCTTCATGTTAGCTAGTTGTTTATTATTTTACTATTATATTTTTGGTGTATGACTCCTCACAAAGTTCATGTCTATTTATGTCAAGGTTGGTTGACTTACTAGTTGGTGGGAGTAAATATTGCTTCTCTTCTGGCAAGAAGTTCCTAATGACCTTCGGTCTTGGAGTCTCACACGAATGCGATCACTGCCAAGATTGATACGATTGATACAGTAGCATACCGTCTGGATAGAATGCCCATCTAGGAATTGATCTTGAGGGCTGAAACCATAGAGGAAAATGCCACACGAGGGGGTGGCTTCGAGAGTTGAGATAACTCAACAGTCTCTATTGCCTAAATGGTAGAGGAGCAAGTCGACTACTTAGATAACTCCCAAAAGACAATCGTTTAGATGGTCACATAACCATCTGAAGATATCAAGTTGCCTTCGACATGGTCAGAGTGTTAAAATATCATCACTAGCCCAATAATTGTATGAGTTCATTGTATATTTAGTTTAGGAAAATGATGCACGTATTTTAGGAATAAAAATATCTAAATATTTTAGTAAAATGATTTAGATATTTTAGGAAAAGGTTGATAAACTAAATATTTTAGTAAAATGATTTAGATATTTTAGGAAAAGGTTGATCCTCTGCCCTATCAGGTTTACATCCAACAAAAGCATTCTACAAAGTTTCTTGTATTCTTTTCTTGATTGGTGTTAATAAAGAGTGCAAGTGTTTCCTACAGAGAGTTGTGTTCAACAATCTGGTATCAGAGCAAGGTTAGTGTAGGTCATTTGCTATTTTGGAATTCTTAGTATGCTCTGTGGTTGTAGCTCTGTCTCATCTTCCACATCAAAAACGATTTATTGAGATTATTAGTGAGTGAGTTTCTTTGTATCGTGAGTAGTCCATGACATTGCAAATCTTGTGTCAAAAGAGTTTGTCCTTACTGAAGTATAGCCAACACGATAAGTGATTTCCAAATCATTGGAGGAATCAAGAAACTCAACAACTACAACTACAACACGTGGGTAACATGCATGATGTCCTATTTACAAGGATAGGACCTTTGGGAGGTCATTGGTAGGAGTGAAACTACGCTGCCGGAGGAGGATTCTAATTGCACCTTGTGCAAATGGAGAATCAAAGCAGACAAAGCAATGTTTGCCTTGAAGATCACAATTAGAGAAGAGATGTTAGAGCATATTTGGGATAACAAGACACCGAAAGAAGCATGAGATACGTTTGTGATGTTATGCTCAAAGAAGAATGATATGAGACTCAACTTATGGAGAACGAGTTATTGTTAATTTCATAACATGACATGACGATTGCCTAGTACTTTCACAAGGTCAAGTCGATCTGCCGGGAGATTACTGAACTAGACCCAAAGTCCGTCATTGGAGAATCTCAAATGAAGAGAATCATTATTAACCGATTGAGACTAGAATATAGAAGCTTTGTTATTGTTGTACAAGGATGACCTGCTCAACCATCAGTTGTAGAGTTTGAAAATTTGTTAGTCAGCATGGCTAAACAAATGGGAGGAATCACATTAAAGGATGAAGAAGCACTCTACACAAATGATAGTAGGAGCAACAATAAGCTGTCTACCAAATGTGGATACCAAAATGGTGACAAAGGAATAAGCCACCAAGGAACTGCACAACTAGAAGAGCTTAGAAGAACGACAACAAGAGTGTCAAGGGAAGAGATTTGTTGGTATTTTCTACAATTGCGGGAAGAAGGGTCACATATGAAGGATTGTTGGTCTAAGAAAAAATCTTTCAAAAGCAATATGGCATCCTCCAACATAGAAATTGAGGAGGAGTGGGATGGAGAGGCAATGTGTGTCATAGAAGAAGACGAGCTAGCGCTCATGGCAATGATGAGAGAAAATATTGATTACGATGACGACTGGATCATTGATTCAGGATGCTCAAACCACATAATTGACAACACTGAAGGAAGTAGTACCAGGCTTGGACAACACTGAAGAAATTCTTCTACAGAAGACGGTGGAGCAAATTGTACACATTTGCTTACATGTTGATGTGCCTGGAGATTTGAGTGATACTGATGTGAGCAAGAAATAACTCAACCAAGCGAACCTAGTGAAAAGAAAATGGCACCTCAACAACTTAGACAATAAAAAATAATCCAAAAGTCAAATGCAGAGTATGCCAACGCAGTTATTATAGAAGATGAAGTTGAAGAGCCAGAGATGTATGCAGAAGCATCACACAATAACAGGCAATGGAGGAAGAATTTATAGCTTTAGAGCAAAATCAAACTTGGGAACTAGTGTCAAGACTAGGAAATGTCAAATCCACCTTTTGCAAGTGGATTTACAAAATAAAGTGTACCTTGAATGGATCAATTGAGAGATACAAAGCTCAGACTGTAGCCCCAAGAATCTCTCAACAATATGGACTAGAATATGATGAAACTAGTCTAGTCGTGAAGATCACTCTCATGTAGTTTCCTCCAGCACTTGTGGTAAATAAAGATTGAAAATTTTGGCAGATGGATATGAAGAATGTATTCTTGCATGGAGAGTTTGATCAAGAGATCTACATGAACCAATCAAATGGATTCGAAAATGAAGTTGAAGTCATTAGTCAATATATGCAAAGTCCGAAAAAGCCTCATTTGGATGCGACTCGACGAACCTTGAGATATGTCAAAGGTACAATCAATTACGATTGGTTGTACAAAAGAAGCGATAAATACAAGCTAGCTAGATACCGTGATGTTGACTATGCAGGACATCACGATACCCGAAGATCAAGCACTAGGTATGTGGTCAAGCTCGGTTCGAGAACAACTTCTTAGTGTAACAAAAGACAACCAACAGTATCATTGTCAACTAGAGAAGCAGAGTACAGAACAGCAACCGAAGCAGATCAAGAAAGTACATGGCTGAAACTCTTAATGGAAAATTGTCACAAAAAAATTGACTATCCAATACCATTCCATTGTGATAACCAATTTGCAATTCACCTGGCAGAAAATCTGATGTTTCATGCTAGAACAAAGCATGTGGAGGTGCATTACCATTCCATTAGAGATAAAGTTTTGAAGGAAGAAATCGATATGCAGCAGATCAAGACAGAAGATCAAGTGACAGACTTGTTTATAAAAAGGTTAACATGAGAGCATTCTAGGAGTGCAAACCTACCCATTCTAAGAGTGGAGCTGGGAGTTTGGAGCCGACATACTAACTTAGTAATCATCAAGATGGACAATTTTTATGTTGTGTTGAGATGGATTTTCTCTTTTAACACAAGGTCATTCCTATGCCCCTAGCCAAATATTGATAATTACGAGACCTAGCACCACTATCATGGTCATGGTCATCATGTAGTTTAAACTAGAAGTTCGATTGACTTAGCTCTTACTAAAATGCAACAGGTGCTAGAAAGGTATTGTGATGCTATGTTAGATAGTCTGTCGAAGACCTTACCTCCACGTGGACGTATAGACCACGAGATTAAATTGTTATCGAAGGCGAGACTGTCTGCCAAGAACACATATCACTTGACCCCACTAAAACTAGCTAAACTATGAAACAACTTAATGAGTTATGATTACTGGGTTTATCAAGTCGGCAAAAGCTCCATACAAAGCTGCCATGTTATTCCAAAAGAAACATAATGGGAGTCTCGACCTATGTGTTGACTATCATGCTCGAACAAAATTACCATTCGTAACAAATATGAATTGTCCATCATGCTAGTCAATGCGAGATGACATCAAAAAAAAATTTACTCAATGACATAGTTGCCTAAGTAATTATGCAGCTAACTAGAGAGGGAAAAAATCCAAAGTTTTGGGTTGAGAATGACTTACTTCTTACTAAAAGCAACAAAGTATATGTCTCTCGTTTTTTAGCCAACTTAATAAGACTTCTGCTTAAAGAATGCCATGACACTCTATAAGTTGGCCACAATAGATGACACCGAACCTACACCCTACTCAAATTGGGGCATTACTGACCAAATCTTTGAGATGACATTAGGCAATTCATGAAAACATGTTTTATTTGTCTGACAAAGTAGAAAGAACAAAGATTGCATGGTTGTTGGAACTTCTTTCAGTCCCATCGCGATCATGGAAAAATATATATCTCAACTTCATCAACCACCTCCCCAAAGTTCGAGAAATCAAGTAAACTCTAATGATTGTTACCGTTTACAAAGTATGCCACTTTCATTATGGCTCTCGAAGTCATATTCTACTAAGATGACAATCCAACTACTTTTTCAGGAATGTTGTCAAGCTATGGGGTGTGCACACAATCGAGATAGAAGATTTACTGGAACCGTCTAGATATAATTGTTTATGTTTTTTAAATTAAATATTTCTTCAAGCTATCACTCCCAAACGGTTGAACAAACTAAAATATTCAACGCTATATTTGAAGAGCTTTTGCATCGCTTTAACTGCCAACAAAGTTCCTTGACTAGAAAAATGCCCTTTTAGGTAGTGTGCGGTAAATAACTACTAATGCCTCATGTCATTGGTTATCCAGATGTTGAAAAGAGCCTATAAGCCTACAACTTCACCAAAGGGGTAGACAAACTTTCTAAAGTAGGATGCACTTACTTAGAAAGAGCATACCGACAAATAAAGAAATGAGCATATCTAAAACGCAAGTCACTAGAATCCCGACCTAGCAACCAAGTTTTGATCAAGTTACAGCCAAAAAAATTTCGATTCTAAGGTAACATAGATTAATGTC